CGTGTTTTTCAATCCGATAACGTCGGCGCGGGTCGGGTGAACACTGACTGTCGCCGCCAGCCCCTCCGTGCCCATTGCTGCCAGGGGACTGAAATCGACATCCTGTCCCGCAACGACCGGCAGCTTTGTATTGCCGACCACCAGGAAGACCCCTTCGCCGGGTGCCTTACGCGGCTGAACCGGGGTTTCTCCTACCGGGCTATGTGCAGGCCCGGGCGGCGCCGCAGCGGGCTGTGCCGGAGACGGGCGATCACCCGGCTGCACGACGATCGAACCATAGTCTTCACGAGTCGTGCCAAATCGTGACTCGATCTGTCGAGCTTTCAACAGACAGGAAACGTAAAGAACGGCCGTTGCGGCAACGGAAAGCGGCGCCAGCAAGGCCATATGGCTCTGACTGTTCCAGGCGGCATGAAGGGCCGAGACGACAATCCAGGCATAGACCACGAATTTCCAGCTGCCCGGACGGATTACCCAGAGACCAATGAAATAGCCCGTAATTCCGGCCCATCCCATGTGGCCAACCATTCCGGAAATCGTGCGGGGGAGCAAAAGCATGAGCCCGCTCAGCAATGTTTCCGCGGTTGCCTGCTTGGCAAATTGCTGCGGAAAATACTGAAAGCCGGTCTCGACAAATATGAACATTGCGCCGCCGACAGTGCCCATCAACAGCCCGTCCAGCGGCCCTCTTATGACAAGTATCTCGAAGAGCTTCGGGTTTGAATTTCTAATTTGGGTGTAGTTCACCGCCAGGATCGCACCGACAATAACCGTCGTAACCTTCATCAGTTCTTCCATCAGCCCGGCGGCAAAGAACATATAGACAAAGTGCAGCGCGAAGGACGGGTTCCCCATCCAGTTGGGGTCAAGAAACCCTCTGAAAACAATGAAATATGGCTGGCCCAGCGGTGTCGTCAGACAAGCATAGACGAATGCCGCGGGGATGAGGAAATGCCAGACCGGCCGGTCTGTACGTGAATAGAGGTAAATCGTTATCAGTATCGACAGGATGATCCAGCCAATCAGGATCAGGCCGAAGAACATGAATTCGTTTATCGTCGGCGATTTCAAAAATGAGGAAAAGGACGAATACATCAAAACGATGATGATACCGGTTCCGCCAATAACCCAAAGCAACGGGCTTTTCAGAAGATTTATCTTCTTTGACCGAAATGGCACCAGTTCGCTGACCGTCGGTTCCTTGTAGTCACGGGGCGTAGGCGATTGTTTTGGTGGTTCCGAATTACTCATCGCATGGTTCCATTCGGCTTCAGTTTAACGGCCAGGATCATACTGGCATCATCGCCTGACCCGTTGGCTGCAAGGTTCTCCAGCCATTGCGGGAGAGCGGACATTGTTTGGGAAAACACCTCGGCGCCCGAACGGCAGCGTTCTCGGTACTGCGCAGCGACGTCATGAAATGCCTCTTCAGAAACAAGGCTTTTCGATACGCCATCGCTGCCGGCAAGAATGAAATCCGGCAACTCGTCGTCCCAGTCCCGGTGCGCGACCCAGCCATGCAGGTGGTTCTCGGCATTGGGCAGACAAAGCGAATAGGTCTGTTCACCCCACAAGCCGGTGTCAGGAGCAATGGGGCGTTCGATCCGTCCATCCGGGAACCCCAGCAATATGTCACCGTCCCCGAGTTGCATCAGGCAAACCTGCCGATCGTCAGCCATGAGACCAAGCATCGTTGCGCCATAGGGCGAATAGTGCTCCGCAACACCTTGCTCGTAGGGATCCTGCGCCACATCGTCATCGACGCGTTTTCGCCAGCTTTCAACGACCGTTTGCGCAAGACTGTCTATGTCAATGTCCTCCGAGGATTCCGCGGTCCATTGCAGCAGTTCGATAGCGGACTCAACTGCAATTCTCGACCCCCGGTCAGAGCGAAAATGCGGAGAAGCTCCATGCCCGTCCGACAAAGCGCCAAAAATTACCTGTGTCGGCTTGTCGCCACTCGGGCGCACCGCCGCAGCATCCTGGTTCGGCAGGCCTCGTCGTATATGCGCAGGGCCAATGACCGAACTTGCGCCAATCATCCAGCCTTCAGTCACATCGCGCCTCGTTGCCGCTGCCGGCTTTCAAACTCGAAATCGCATCAGGAGCAACAACGGTCGCCTGGTTGGCTCCTGCCTCGATCCTGAGCCCGTCAGCCAGGAGCACGGTTTTTCCGGGCGACACCATGGTTTCCTGCCCGCCCGGCGGACGCACGCGCCATGGCTCCTGGGTCGTGTTCTTAAGTCCGAATACGCCCGGTTTCTGCGGATGTTCCACAACAATGGCCATGCTTTCCCAGCGAGGGGCGTTTGCGTGGCCAAAGTCTGCCAGGGTAACCACTGCTCCCTCGCCCAATGCGATATACTTGGTGCCGATGAGCAGCATCGGAGGAGGCGCCAGCGCAGTGCTGCAATAAACACACTCCCCGGCCGAGCGGCCTTGCACGTGATCGTAAATGTGCTCGTAGCGACAGTCCGAACAGGCGAAGGTTGCACGCTGAAAGCCGTCCATCGTCTTCAGCCATTCCTTTTCAATGACGCGTTTGTTCGGATTATTCAGACCAATGCCGAAAGCACGCAGAAACAGGCTGCGCAATTTCTCCGGCAGTGACCGCCAGCGGCACACGAGCATGTCATGCATCGGAGAAACCGGCCCGTTTGAAGTGTCGTTTTCGTCGAACAGGAATAGCGGTGCCGTGCCGTACAGCTCATGTTCAAGCTGCTCGGTCAGCAGATTGGCCTCGGCTTCCTTTTTTCCGTCAAGCGGATGCCAGCCGATGAGAATGTAGAAAAAAAGCACGGCCATGGAATAAAGATCCGTGCGCCCGTTCGGTGTCGTCTCCCGCCTTACTATTTCCGGTGCCATGAATTTGCGGGTGCCGTAGACGCTTGCCTCGCTGCCGTCGACATTGACATTGTCATTGTCGCAAATCAGCACCCGACCGGATGTCGGGTGAACAAAGAAATTGCCGAAATTTATGTCCTGATAGCAAAACCCCTTTGCATGCAGGCTCAGGAAGCTGTCTGCGATCTGCTGACACACGAACAGTCGTTTTTCCAGGCTCAGTTCGATGCGGTTGGGGGGCGGAGCGAGAAGTTCCCGGATCGATCTGAACTCATCCGGACGCAGCCCCATGACATAGCCGAAACTGTCCGTTCGCGCGGGATGCTCTACCAGTTCCAGTGGCCAAAGAAACCGGTCATCGGGTGCGCCACGCGCAATTGCCCGGCGCAATCGTTCCATCAAGGTTCCGTCGATCTCGACATAATACGGGTGATACCACTTGAGCGCATAGGTGCCGCCGCCAAACTCGGATTTGTAAACGGACCCCTGCCCTCCTTCCCCCAGAAGATCACCCACGACACCGGTTCGCAGCTTGTTATGGGAATAAAAACGATCTCCTGCGGCCAATTCGCGACCGGAATTTTCAGCTTCCATAATCAGCCGTCTGTTGCTCAAACCAACCAAGAGAAATAGTTGAAAATACTTGCTATTTCAGGTCGGTCAAAAATAAAAACTATATAACGGTCGTTGTCACGACCCCCCATTTTGGACAGCCGCAAGAACGATTTTCAAACCAAACTCCAGTGAATTAAACAGCAAACTGGTATGTATTTGCAAAGGAAAAATTAACCAATCCCGTGACGTCAACCTCCGTGGTGAAGCCGTTCGACAGGTCGGGACAATTGACGATGCACACACTAACGGTCCTGATTTGCCGTCAAGGGTTTCCGGATACTTGCCGAAACACTTGCATTACGAATGCAACTCGCAGCGCAAAACCAGAAAACGCCTCACTCGTGAACGCTTTCCTTGTGGTTCCAGACAATAGTCAGCCAATCGTGGATGCGTGGTTAGGGAGATCTGACTTGGCAGCCACCCGGGAACCGGCCTTTGGAAAGCCAGACATGCAGTCGGGCGTGCTGTAAAAGCGCGATCGAATCTCCGCCGAATTCATCCGGGGCAGTCCGACCGGCTGTCAGAGTAGTTTTCTTCGTTCACATGCCTTCAAACCACGGTCGCAACGACAGCCAGGCAGTCTCCAGACTTGATCAGACCCGGGAAATGCCGTGCCATCAGGATGCCGGAGCGTTTGGCGCGGTATTCGACCGGTGCAACACCCGTTCTGCCGGTTGCCCATACCCTTGCGACAACATCTCCTTTGGAGACTTTCTCACCCAGGTCGATCACCGGTTCGATCATGCCTTCGTCTTCGCTGAAGACAAAACAGTCTCCGTCGGGCATATCGAGCGAAACCGTCGGCTCAAGCGTAATGTCACCAGCCATGATGCCCGCATGCCTCAGGACATTGCGTACGCCTTTCCTGGCGATCGCAATCGAACGAGCCGTCGCGGTTCCTCCACCACCGAGTTCCGTCGTGACGAACACTTTTCCCTGCTGCTCAACGGCCGTGTCATACATGCCGACATTGTCTATTTCGAGCATGATTGCCGTGTAGGGAGCGTTGAAGGCGCGGACGGCGGCGACACAGGCATCCTGCTGGTTCTGGTCATCCAGCACATGCGCGGATGCAAACGGCACGAAGTCCAGCGTCTTTCCACCGGAATGGAAATCAAGAACGATATCCGCCATCGGGATCAGCACAGTGTCAAAGTAATGCGCGATCTTCTCGGTGACTGTTCCGTCGGGTCGCCCCGGAAAGGACCTGTTCATGTTCCCCTTGTCGATCGGAGATGTCCGCGATCCGGCGCAAAAGGCCGGGTAGTTGAACGCGGGTACGATAATGACGCGTCCACTGATTTCACCGGGTGAGAGCGTCAGGGCAAGATCCTGAAGCGCGACCGGCCCCTCATACTCATCGCCGTGGTTGCCACCTGTCAGCAAGGCCGTCGGCCCCTCGCCGTTTTGAATAACGGCAATCGGGATCATGACCGATCCCCAGGCAGAATCGTCCCGGCTGTAAGGCAAACGCAAAAACCCGTGATGGACACCATCCTCGTCAAACGGGATGGTCGGTGTGATCGGATTGGCAGACATCGTCAGGCCTTCACAAAAAGCTTGCGGGGAACATTGGAAAGGCACTCCGGTGCGCCGTCACGGATGACAATGCTTTCGGTGATCTCGAAACCCCAGTCATCCATCCACAGACCGGTCATGAAGTGGAATGTCATGTTTTCCCGCAAGACAGTGCGGTCGCCGCTCCGCAGCGACATGGTGCGCTCGCCCCAGTCGGGTGGATAGGAGATACCGATCGGATAGCCCGTGCGGTTGTCCTTGGTGATGCCGTACTTCTTCAGAACGGCAAAAAACGCGTGTGCGATGTCTTCGCAAAGATTGCCGGCCCTGGCGGCCTCAAGCCCGGCCTCCATGCCTTCAAGCACGGCTTTTTCCGCATCAAGAAAGGTCTGTGTCGGCTTGCCGAGAAACAACGTCCTGGAAAGCGGGCACTGATAGCGGTGATAGGCTCCGGCGACCTCGAAAAACGTGCCTTCACCGGATTTCATCGGCTTGTCGTCCCAGGTGAGATGCGGAGCTGCCGCATCACTTCCCGACGGCAGAAGCGGAACGATTGCCGGATAGTCGCCGCCGGCCTCGAGACCGGCATCATAGCGCAGGCCCGCATCATAAATGTCGGCGACGAGATCGCATTTGCGAAGGCCGGGCTCTGCCTTTTCCAAAATGCGCGCATGGATCTTTTCGACCAGTTTTCCGGCCGTACGCATATAGGTGAGTTCCTGTTCGGATTTCACTGCCCGTTGCCAGTTCACCAGCGCCGTCACATCCTGAAAGTTTGCATCGGCCAGGTGTTTTTGCAGCGACGCATAGGATGCTGCTGTGAACCAGTAATTGTCCATTTCAACGCCGATGTTCGACGATGCCCAGCCCCGCTCCTCAATCCGCGCGGCCAGATAATCCATCGGATGACGCTCGGTCGACTGAACGTAGTGGTCCGGATAACCGATGACATTGTCCGGGTGCATGAAGCAGGTCCTGAAGGCTCCTTGCGCGTCCTGCCCGCGGCCGAACCAGACGGGATCTCCGTCGAGGCCCAGCAGTACTGCCTGGTGGACGTAAAACGACCAGCCGTCATAGCCCGTCAACCAGGCCATGTTGGAGGGGTCGGAAACGATGATGACATCGACACCGGCCTGCTGCATGGCTGTTCGCGTCCGGTCTATCCGGTCCTGGTATTCTTGCCTTGTGAAATGAAGGGACGGCTCGATCATGTAACTCTTCCAATGAGGGTCAGGTATCAAATTGTGTTCCGGCGCCGGCAGTCTCGGCCTGCTGACGCGCAAACGTCGCAATCGCCGTGTCCTGGACGCCGGTTCCGGTCAGATCGCAAATCGTAAGGTCCTCGGGCCGTTTTCGGCCGACGGCCTTGCCTGCAACGATGTCACCGAGTTCATCGAACCTGGTGTCACCCGAAACAAACCCGGTTGAAATCGCATGATGGAGCTCGCCAAGGAGTTCGGTCTGCGATTGCCGGTCGGGAACATATAGATCTGCAAGATCAAGACAGGCGGGTTCAAGCTCGTTCTTGTGGTGCTGGTCTGATCCCATGGCCGTCACGTGCTGCCCCGCACGCAGCCAACGCGCCTTGATCAACGGTTCTGCACTCGGTGTTGTCGTAACGATAACGTCAGCCTCCGCAACGGCTTCCTCCAGCCTGGCTGTCGGATTGGCTTCAATTCCAAGGAGCTGTGCCATTTCCCTCGCGGTCGCCTCGGCTTTTGCAATGTCTCGCGCCCAATAGGAAACTCTTTCTATCGGTCGGACAAGGCACAATGCCTGCAGCTGCAGCTTCGCCTGCATCCCGGCCCCCAGAATGCAGGCCGTTCTGGCATTTTCCGGTGCAAGATGTTTTGCCGCGACCGCTCCGGCTGCAGCGGTTCTGATATCCGTCAGATAGCCATTGTCCAGGAGCAGAGCCTCGATCATGCCGGTGCGCGCGGAAAAGAGGATCATCAAACCCGATGTGCTGGGAAGGCCGAATTTCGGGTTGTCGAAAAAACCGGGAGACATCTTGATGGCAAAACTTTCGACGCCCGGCACATAAGCGGTCTTGACGTCAACTTCACCGTTATAGTCCGGCATCGCCATGGACAGGATCGGTGGCATGACGACACCGCCCTGAGCCAGTGATGCAAAGGCGCGTTCCACACAGTCAACGGCAGCAAGATCGAGATGGATAATCTTGCGGAGCTCTGCTTCCGTGAGCAATTTGATAGCGGGCAATTCAGGTCTCCCCTTCACCGGCAACATCGACATCCTCACCGGAAATGATGCGCTGATGCATGTTCATGTCGATATTGCATCCGGACAACAATGCCACTGAAGGGCCTGCAAGCTTCGCCTTGTCGGCGACAAGGGCAGCCAGGCAAACAGCTCCCGAACCTTCAACAACCTGCCGCTCCTGCCAGTATGCGTGACGTATGCCGGCCGCAATTTCCGCTTCGTTCAAAAGAACGATATTATCGACAAGGTCCCGCACAACATTGAACGTATACCGGTTCTCCAGGCCGATGCCACCACCGAGAGAATCCGCCAGTGTCGGCAATTCGGGCACCTGAACCGGATGGCCGGCAGCCTGAGAGGCAGCCATAGCGGCCCCGCGTTCCATGGAAACACCGATGATCTTCACATCCGGTTTTCGCGCCTTGACCGCTTCGGCGACACCGGAAATGAGCCCGCCACCGGAAAGCGGCACGAGAACAGTCTCCACGTCCGGAACGTCCTCCAGAAGTTCAAGACCCAATGTTCCCTGACCGGCAATGATATCCTTGTGGTCAAATGGTGGAAGAAGGGTCATTCCCTCTTCATCAACCAGTCTGTCGACCTCAACCTGGGCCTCGTCCTGTGAAGACCCGACAATTCGCACTTCGGCACCTTGTGCCTTGATGCCGTCGATCTTGTTTTGCGGCACGAGGCGGGACATGCAGATGATGCATTTGACGCCTGCCTGCCTTGCAGCATAGGCGAGCCCGCGTCCGTGATTGCCGGTTGAAACGCCAACGACGCCGTTTGCCTGCGCCGTTTCATCCAGCGCCAGCACGGCATTGGTAGCGCCGCGCAACTTGAAGCTTCCCGTTTTCTGCAATTGTTCAAGCTTCAGGTGAACCGGCACGCCGGCCCGCTCGCTCAGGCTCGAGGAATGAACCATCGGGGTGCGCAGGATCCTGTCCGCGATCCGTGTTCGTGCTTGTGTGAAGGTTTCCGGAGCAAACTGGAAAGAGTTGGGGTTCATGCGATGTCTCGGACCTTCTCACTTGCAAGATCAAACGAATAGAGTTTTCCGAATTCGGCAGGGCGATGATCGGAAAGACCGCCCAATCGGGTCAAGAGCCAACTGGCAGCCTGGTTTGACGTCACCACAGGTTTCCCGATGCGGTCCTCGATTTCTACGATGCTGTCAAGCGCGGGCAAGGCCGTACACGAAATGAACAGGGCCTGGGCATCCTTCCGATCAGCGGCAACCGCCGCATTGATGATTGTCTGACGGCTGATACGGGCCATGTCACGATCGTCCTCGACACCAAGACAATCGAAATTGACAACATCCAGTCCCTCACTGGTGAAGAAATCCGCCATCGGCTGGCTCGTGGCAATCGTGTAAGGCGTCAGAACGGCAATTCGGCGGACGTCGAGTGCCTCGAAAGCTCTGATCGCCGCCGCTGTGGGTGTCACGACGGGAATTCCCGGCAGCTCTTTCTGGATTGAGCTGCGCACCTCATGATCGCCGATAACAACGGTGGCTGCCGTGCAGCTGTAACAAACCGCCTTCAGAGGCGAGACAGGTGCCAATAGTCCGGCTGCCTTGACAAGGCGAGGCGCCATCAGCTGCAGGTTGTCGGGTGTTGTCGGGTTTTCGAACGCGAGCCGGGACACATGAATCGCGACATCCCTGCCCTGCATCTGCCGATAAAGATCCCTTTCGCTGGTCAGGTCCGTCGCGAGTGCGACCAGACCGAACCTTGCTGTTTCCGGAATGTCGAAACGGACTTCCTCAGACGATATTGAAGGCACAACTCTTGCCATTTTGATTTCCTGTGAGGGTGCCGTTTGAAGCGGCACCTGATTGAGACTTCTACACGACCAGAACCGGGCAATCCGCCAGGCTGGTGATCTTGTGCGACACGCTGCCGAGCAAAAATCCCTCGACATCGCCAAGACCACGACTGCCGACAACGATGACATCAACATCGTGTTCTTCGGCGAATTTCACGATTGTCCGGGCCGGTTGGCCGATTTTTACGAACGCGCGCACTGTTCCGGCCCCTGCCCGCCTCGCAAACTCCTTCGCCTGTTCCGCGATCTCCCTGGCATGGTCACGCATGGCCTCATCCGGTGGCGAGGGATCATCAGGGCGCACCATCGACATTGACGCTTCAAGCAGGGAGTGGTGCCTGTAGACCGTCAGGATCAGCAGATCCGCACCGCAGCAAGACTGAAGCCCGACTGCGACACCAAGAGCCTTTTGGGCGCCCTGCGACCCATCGACCGCAACCAGGATGTTTTTGAACATGATTGCCCCCATCATCGGAAAGCCAGGTCACGCAGGAACAGCGCAATCTGAGGAAAGAAGATCAGCGCGGCGGAGACGCACAGCAGAATGACCGTGAACGGGAAAATACCGCGAATGACATCAATGTAAGGCCGCTTGAATATGGCAATCGCCGTGAAGATGTCACATCCGAAGGGAGGTGTTGCGGAACCGATGGCAACCTGCAGCGTGATGATCGTGCCCACCAGCACCGGATCAAGTCCCACCGACTTCACGACCGGCGCAAAGATCGGCACCAGAATCAGGATCACCACGATCGGGTCGACGAACATGCAGCCAATGAAGAATGCAATCGAAATGACAGCCAGGACGCCGTGCGGTCCCATCTCCGTAATCCCGATACTCGCCAGGATCTGCTGTGGCACCTGCGCGAACGAAATCACCCAGGAAAAAGAGGCGCCAGCCCCCACAAGAATGAAGACAACGGCCGTGATCAGTCCGGTGGATTTCGCGATGGTGTACATTTCCGGCCATTTCAGTGACCTGAACACCACGAATTCGAGGAACACGGCATAGAGTACACACACGGCCGCAGCTTCCGTCGGGCTGAAAACGCCACCGTAAATTCCACCGACGATGATCAGCGGAAATCCAAGTGGCCAGACCGCTCTCCTGACCGCGGCCAACCGCTCTCCCCAACTGGCCTTCGGCTCGGTCGGAACACCTTTTACCGTCGCATATATCATGCTGTAGGCGGAAAACAGCACGAGCAACAGAAGACCCGGCCCGATACCGGCAATGAACAATTCTGCAATCGACGTGCTGGAGATCACGCCATAGATGATCATGCCGATGGACGGCGGGATCAGAAAGGCGATGTCCGAGGCATTGATGATGAGTGCCAGGACAAACGAGTCCTTGTATCCGGCCTTGAGCATGCGCGGGCGCAGTGGCGAACCAACGGCAACGACAGTCGCCTGGGTCGATCCGGAAACAGCTCCGAACAGGGTACAGGCCGTTGCCGTGCTGACGGCAAGACCACCTTTGACATGACCGACAAACTTCATGACCATGTCGATCAATCTGCCGGCTGACTGTCCACGCGTCATGATGTCTGCCGCAAGGATGAACATTGGAACTGCGATCAGAGACGCCGGACGAATGCCCGCCATGATCTGCTGAACCATGAAGTCCGTCTTGCCGATATCACCGAACAGCATCATGAAGCCGGTAAACGTCGCGGCAAGCAGCGGTATCATCATGGGAAAGCCGAGCAGCAGCAGCACAACCATGATGAGGAAAATTGTAAGCGCCATCGGTCCTACCTCGTCAGCCTCTAGACTTCGAACTCGTCGTCTTCGTAACCCTCAAGCACCTGGGTCGAGAGGTAGATATCCTTGTCGAAAATGTTCTTGACCGCGGTCAGCGCGTACTGGACGCCGGTCATGAAAAACCCGACAGGTACCCATAGAAAAATCCAGAAGACCGGAATGGCCAATGCGGGAAGAACCCGGCCCGAGGCCGCAACGCTGGTGATGTATCGGATCGCGAAAATGCAGAGCGCGAACATTGCCAGTGAGGTGACGCAGGCGATCAGGATCATCATGACCTTTCGGATGCGCGCAGGCATCATGTCGAAGATCGCCGACATCCGGATGTGGCGACCCTGTCGCGCGGCGTAACTGATGCCTGCAAACGTGATCAGGATGATCAGAATCCGGTTCAGTTCTTCTGAAAAAAACAAGCTGTGCTGAAACACGAACCGACCAACGACATTGATGACCGTGTTGGCTGCCATCAAAAGAACGCCGAATGCCAGCATGAAGGATTCAACACGGCTGACTGCCGTATCGAGCACCCCGAGAAAGCCGTTCATCTGATGTTGATCAGTGCTGTTGGGATCGTCGCTTTTCACCGTTCTCTCCAGCCGGTTCGTGACTTGCGGGAGGCTTGCAAACTGCTGCCTCCCGCACCAGAGCACCGGGTCGTTCAGGACCCGGTCAGTCGCGCGTTGCGTCCAGATCCGCTTTCATCTGGTCGAGAATGGCCTTGCCGCCCTCTCCGGTCATTTCGATGAACTTCGCCTCCACTTCGGCGGCCGCATTCTTGAAGCAGGCCCGCTCTTCGTCCGACAGGACAGTGATGGTCATTGCGGGTTTTGCTTCCTTGATCTTGTCAAGTTCGCTGTCCGCCAGGCTTTTCTGATATCCGACAATGTAGTCGAAGGCGGATGCGGCGGCGTCCTGGACGACCTTCTGCTCTTCGGCACTCAAACCATCATAGAACTGCTTGTTGGCCATCAGCGCGGTGGTGAAGTTGTTGTGGCCCGCATAGGTGATGTGGTCTGTCACTTCGTAGATCTTGGTGGAAAAGAGGAAGAACGTCGGGTTCTCCTGCCCCTGGATGATGTTGGTCTGCAAGCCGCCATAGACCTCGCCCCACGGCAACGGTGTCGGCGTGGCACCAAAGGCCTTGTAGGATTCCACCAGCAGCGGATTGGTCATCACGCGAAATTTGACTTCATCAAGATCCGCACAGCTCTTCACGGGTGACTTGGTGGTCATCGCCACCTCGCCTTCCGGATACATGGACAGGAGTTCCAGTCCCTGGTTTGCATAAAGACCGACGAAATCCTCGTTGATCGCCTTGGAATTCTTGAAGAAACGGCCGAGATGATCCTGATCGGTCGGAAGCAGGTAGGGAACAAAGAACACCTGTGCTTCGGGGATCAGGGCTCCGGTGAAACCGGGAGACTGGTTGACGAACTGAAGCAGACCGGCCTGCGTCTGCTCCATGATGTCGGCGGACTCGCCCAGCGAGCCATACGGAAACAACGTGATCGTATGATCGGAATTCGCTTCGACGGCTTCCTTGAACTTCGTGGCGTAAACTCCCTGCACGTCCGTCAGGGATTCCTCAAAGGCGTATTTCCAGTCAGCGGCGTGCGACAGGGTCGCACCGGCAAGAAGCATTGCCGTGCTGGCAAGGAGTGTTCTGAATTTGGTTTTCATGAATTTGACCTGCTTTTGCTGTTCCCTGGCCAACACGCCTTTTCAGACACACGGAGAGCGTCCGCGGAGATGACACTCTAGGCACATCCCATCGGCACCGGTCCGCACGAAAAGACGTGACAGCCGTTCAATTGAATTTCCGGGTTGTTGTTATTGCCTCAACTTGAAATGAGGACAATTAAGAGTCAATCAAAACATTAAATCATGACAATTTTAACATATAAACGCATTCAGAATGCCAGCAAGGCAGGCTCCGGAGGACTTTTGTAAAGGCGCGCGATCAGCTGCACGCCGCGTGCCAGCGCTTCCTCCTGTATGCCCCCAAGGCAAATACGGACACTGTGGTTGGCGGTGGCATCTGAAATGGCGAATGCAGAACCCGGTGCCACCGCGACACCTTTCTGCCTGGCATTGGCAACGAAAGCTTCCTCGGTCCAGGACCCCGGCAGCGGCAACCAGATGTGCATTCCGTTGGGACTCGCCCCAAACGGGATGCCGTCCAGAATCTTTGCCACCATCGCATTTCGCCGCCCCAATGCGGCCTTCTGCCATGACAATAGTTCGTCCGCAGTTCCGTTTTCTATGAAGAGGGAAGCGATTTCCGCCATAATGGGCGTTGCCACCCAATCTGTTACCAGGTGACGATTGCCGGCGGCTGACGCCAGCAATTCGGGAACAACGAGATATCCGTGCCGAAGCCCGGGAAACAGGCACTTTGTAAAGCTTGTGAAATAGAACGTCCGCTCGGGCGCGAAGGCGGCGATCGGCGGCGGCCGGTCCGGCTGGATCGGTCCCCATGCGTCGTTCTCGATAATTGTGAAGTCATATTTGCGCGCAAGTGCGGCTAGCGCTTCCCGCCGGTCACTTCCCATCATGCGAGCCAGTGGATTCAAGCCGCTCGGCATGACATAGAGCGACTTCACCGGCTTGGATCTGCAGATTTTTTCGAGTTCGTCCGGCACGATGCCTTCATGATCGAGAGGAATGCCCTCCAGACGCAAATCCATGTATCTGGCGAGTGGAATGAGCGTGTGATGACACATGGCCTCCGTCAGCACGAGTTCGCCCGCATTCGCCGCCGTCATCAGCGCTGTCGTCATGGCCGGTGTCGCACCGTTCGTCATGATGATCGAGTCAGGTGCACAGCTGAGACCGCAGCGCGCCAGCCAGGCAAGGGCCGCCCTCTTGAACGGCTGCAGCGCATTGGACGGCTTGAACGAGAAGATGGATGTATCAGCCAGAGTGTCTGAAAGCTCGGCAAAAGCCGCACTCATTCTTTCCCTGTGAACCGGCGCGGTCACGGGTTTGAGGATCGAAAGATCGACCAGTTGCCCGTCCTGACCTGCCGGGACGAAAGGCCAGTTCGATTTGGCTGGTCCCGAGCTGACAAACGTTCCCCGCCCGACCTGCCCTTCTATGAGGCCACGCCGGATGAGCTCGTCGTAGGCCCGGCTGATGGTCTGGACACTCAAATCAAGCTGATAGGCCAATTCACGATGCGTCGGAAGCCGTTCACCGACCCTCAGGTCCCCGTTGTCGATCGCATCGGATATCAGGTCGGCGAGCGAGCGGTAGGCGGGACGTGGGATTGTTTCGGGGAAATTCTTCCATATTGTCATGATTTCATACTGACGATTTTCATAACAATTGACAAGTCAATTCATCCTGTTCATGGTCGCGCCATGATTGGGCTGAAACTCGACGATCGCGACCTGAAAATACTGTCCATCCTGTCCCGGGAAGGCAGATTGGCAAAGGCCGACCTTGCCAAACGGGTCAACCTGTCGCCGACACCGCTTTGGGAACGTCTGAAACGCCTTGAAAAAGCCGGTATCATTCGCGGGTACAGCGCCGAAATTTCCCTGAAGGGTGTTGCCGCCCATATCGAGGTTTTCGTGACTGTCGAGCTTGAAAACCACCGGGCGGAGAGCTTCCAGACATTTGAACGCACGATCAACCATCATGACGAGATCGTGGCCTGCTGGGCCATCGGTGGCGGGTTCGACTATATTCTGCAAGTCATCACGAAGGATATAGACAGCTACCAGCGCCTGATCGACACACTGCTGGACGGCAAGATCGGTCTCGCCCGCTACTACACCTATGTCGTGACCAAACAGGTCAAACTTCGCGGTGCTCCCCCGTTTGGCATTCTTCTCGGCAATTCGCCGGGAGACGAAGCTGCTGGCAGTGACGGCAGTTAAAAAAAGATCGTCTGCCCCGGCGCATGTTTATGGTCGTTTCCTCCAGATCCACGCTCGTACGATGCGGCCATGAAAACCGGAGGCCGGATCAATGGGAATGCCTGTTCACCAGGAAACGACAACATTTCATCTGAGGGACAAACGTCTTTTCCGTTCGTTTGCCTATGTCGACGGAAAGTGGATTGCGAACAGGGACGGAGAGACATTCCCGGTCCTTGATCCTGCAACGGGTGACCATGTCGGAGAAGTGGCGAAGCTGAGCGGTGCTGAAAGTCGCGATGCGGTCGATGCCGCGCACAGGAGTTTTGCCACCTGGGCAAACCTGCTGCCGCAACAGCGGGCCACGATCCTGCGCCAGTGGTTCGAACTAATCCTGGAAAACCGCGAAGACCTTGCTCAGATCATGACGCTTGAGCAAGGCAAACCGCTGTCCGAGGCCCGGGGCGAGATCGACTACGGAGCGTCCTTTGTCGAATTCTACGCCGAGGAAGCCAAGCGTCCCAATGTCGAGGGCGTGACATCGCACCTGCCGGATGCCGAAGTCGAAGTCTGGCTCGAACCTGTGGGTGTTGCGGCTCTGATCACGCCGTGGAATTTTCCCAGTGCGATGGTCACCCGCAAAGCTGCGGCTGCGCTCGCAGCCGGGTGCACCGTGGTCGTTCATCCCTCCGGGGAAACACCATATTCGTGCCTGGCCCTTGCCGAACTTGCCGAACGTGCGGGACTTCCCGCAGGCGTCTTCAACGTCATCACGGGTGATCCGTCGACAATCGTCGCGCCCTGGATGGAAGATGCCCGTGTTCGTGCGGTTTCCTTCACCGGGTCGACGGATGTCGGCAAGCTGCTTTACCGCCAGAGCGCGGGCACGATCAAGCGCATGGTTCTGGAACTTGGCGGCCATGCGCCGTTTCTCGTCTTTGCCGACTGCGACCTCGATCTTGCCGTGGACGAAGCGATCAAGGCAAAATTCGCGACCTCGGGACAGGACTGCCTTGGGGCCAACCGGTTTCTGGTAGAACGCCCGGTTTACGAGATTTTCTGCCAACGCCTGGCAGCACGCACGCGTGAACTCACCGTCGGCGCAGGCTGGACTGATCCGGATATCGGTCCGCTGATGAACGCCGGGGCCGTGGAAAAGCAGGAAAGTCATGTTGCCGATGCAATCCAATCGGGCGCGCAGCTCCTTTGCGGTGGCAAGCGTCACAAGGCCGGACCGTTGTTTTTCGAACCCACAGTTCTGTGCGACGTTCCTGCCAGCGCCAGGATCATGAACGAAGAAACATTCGGGCCCGTTGCCGCCATTGCCCCGTTCGATGACGAGGTTGAAGCGCTCCAGCGGGCGAACGACACCGAATTCGGTCTGGTCGCCTATGTGCATACCAGCGACCCGCGACGGATATACCGGGCCAGCCGCCACTTGCAGTTCGGCATGGTGGCGGTCAACAGAACGAAAGTCACCGGGGCTCCGATCCCGTTCGGCGGAATGAAGCAGTCGGGCCTTGGACGGGAAGGCGCCCGGATGGGCATGGCAGAATTCATGGACGTCAAATATGTTTGCCGCGATTGGGCGTGACCAGACAACAACAAAGGACAGAATATGCTTCGCAACGACCAGCTCGATCAGTGGGATCGCGAAAATTTCTTTCACCCTTCGACCCATCTCGCCCAACATGCGCGCGGGGAAGCACACTCCAGGATCATTGAGACCGGATCAGGTGTCCACATAGAGGACCGGGACGGCAACAGGCTTCTGGATGCCTTTGCGGGCCTTTACTGCGTCAATGTCGGCTATGGCCGTCAGGAAATTGCCGAGGCGATCGCCGAGCAGGCCAGGAAACTTGCCTACTATCATGCCTATGTCGGCCACGGCACGGAAGCGTCGATCACTTTGTCAAAGATGATCCTGGACAGGGCTCCGGACAACATGTCCAAGGTCTATTTCGGGCTCGGCGGGTCCGATGCCAACGAAACCAACATCAAACTGGTCTGGTACTACAACAACATCCTCGGCCGTCCCGAAAAGAAGAAAATCATTTCACGCTGGCGCGGCTATCACGGGTCCGGACTGATGACAGGGTCGCTGACAGGGCTTGAGCTCTTCCACAAGAAGTTCGACCTGCCGTTCGACAACGTGCTGCACACCGAAGCACCCTACTATTTCCGCCGGCCGGACCTGGCCATGAGCGAAGCGGATTTCGTATCGCACTGCGTCGCCGAACTGGAAGCCATGATCGAGCGAGAAGGTGCAGATACCATCGCTGCGTTCATCGGTGAACCGGCCATGGGCACCGGCGGGCTCGTACCCCCACCCAAAGGTTACTGGCAGGCGATCCAGCCGGTCCTCAAGAAGCACGATATTCTTTTGATCGCGGACGAAGTGGTCACAGGTTTCGGCCGTCTCGGCTCGATGTTCGGATCCGAACACTATGGCATCGAGGCCGACATCATCACCATTGCGAAAGGCCTGACGTCGGCCTACGCGCCGCTGTCCGGGTCGATCGTGTCAAACAAGGTCTGGGATGTGCTGATGAAAGGGACAGACGAAACCGGTCCGATCGGTCACGGCTGGACCTATTCCGCCCATCCGATAGGCGCGGCGGCAGCCATTGCCAACCTGAAGCTGGTCGACGAACTCAATCTCGTCGAGAATGCCGGCGTGGTCGGATTACACTTTACTTCTGCGATGCGTGACGCCCTGGGTGATCATCCGAATGTCGGTGAAATCCGAGGCGAAGGATTATTGATGGCAGTGGAATT